ATGTATAGCTACAATTCACTAATAAAAACATTTTAAAAGACATGCTAAAATCAGGTGTTTCCTTTCAGTTGCAATAGATTAAACTCGTTTTGTCACAGCAAGATTTAATCCATGTGGTTATTGCCTCTTAGAACAGAGTCAAGTGCAGGCAATTTATCAGGGGAGATGAGATGGATATTCAGTATTCCTTTGGTGCCTCAAGGGTCAGTAAGGATTGATTAAAGGTCAGGTCCTGTGGGCAGCCAGGGTAAGTCTTACCCTACCTAGAAGAGGAAAATTAGAAGAGATGGTTCCACAAAGGAGGAAAGAGAATTAGAAACATATTATACCTTTGGTTCAGGAGGATTCTTTCACAACCACATGAAGAGGAAAGGACTTACATAATTTGTGACCTTAGTTTTCTCTTAAAGCAGAATTATTTCTGGATTTCTCAGAAAGCGATTTGCTACTTTATGAATTATCCAATTCCTTTTTATTTTTTTTTAATCCCTTGACCTTTTTCTCATTTCTCTTGAGTTAGACACAATGAGTAAGATGGGTGTATTAAAAAGATCCCTCAAGTAGATTTAGGGAAGGTTGACAAATTAATTATGAGATCTTTTATCATATCTTTTGAATGTAAATAAAACTTAATTATCATAATTGAATGTAAGAACCAGAAGGAAATATAGTAAGATAGCCTAGCCTCCCAGTCAGTGCCAAATTTCTGTCTGGAATTTTAAAATACTTTTAAAGAACATTCTTAGATCTAATATTTCTCAAAGAAATAAACAACCCATCTCTGTTAAAATGATAATGATAGTGATAATATTAATAATAAAATAATAAAACTGCTATTTGCTGAATATTAACTACATTTGATGATGAACATAATTATGATGAGGTGAGTACTATTACCATTTCCCTTAAGACACCCCTATTTAATGGATCATTTTCTCTCTTATGTAATGTAACAATGGAGAATTTTATCTTTTATAGGAAATAAAAGCAGGCTTTGAATAATATGCATGTTGGTTTACTCCATACAATTATCCTGCACTTCTTCAATGACATCACTTTATGATATTTGTTGAAAAAACATTTATTATTTCCTCAAGGGTTTTTTTTTTTTTGTGTGTGTGTGTGTGTGTGTGTGTTGTTGTTGTTTGTTTTTGTCCCATGATCATCCCTGTTTCTTCTGTCCCTTATGTCATCCTTAACCTGTGCACTCTTTTCAGGATTTTAATATCCCCTATATAACGTGCTTTCCAGAATCGAGCCCGATATTACTAATGTGATCATATATTTGTATTTAGTGTCCACTCTTCAGTTGAGAATGATCTTTCACACATCTGAACAGTGTTCCAGGTGCAGTTCAGGTATGATTTGGGAGCAGGTTCTAAGGTCTGAAAAACAGATAATTGAGTTGTGGGCACTTTAACCATCAAAACTTTTCTTTGTCATTTGAGTAGCATATGCAGCTAGTTAGAAGGATTAATATCTAAGTAACAGTATAAATACCAATGAAGATATCTAATATACAGATAAGGATGAATAGAACACGATCTTCTCTGTAGTGATTTTGCAATATATATGATCTGTTTATTTCAAAATTAAATATTAAAAATAAAAGATAATTCCCAGTGTTGGTGATCATGTGAATATGACCAAATATTCTCTTTAAACTGTCAGTGGGAGTTCAATTGGTACAAACAGTTGTGGCTAAATTTGATAGTCAATATCAAAATGTGTATGCTGTGACTATAGAAAAACCAATCCTAAAATAATTATGGCCATGTGTTAAATATTTATCTATGTATGCATTATGTTAGCACAGATTGTAGTACCCAATAGTACTACAGTTTTATAGAAACCCCCAATCTCAGAGAAATAAGTAGAACCAAGGAATGATGTATTATTTCAAACCCTGTTAGGAAAAGCAAGGGTAAAGCATATTTTATTTAAAATATGTAGCACATAATTTATTTAAACATGTAATGCTTTAAATGTTTTTGTATCATAATTTTAGGTACTTCCACAATTACTTTACAAATATTAATATATTTATCCTCCTGAGAGCCCACATTAAAAATCTTCATTAGAGAAATGACGACACTGAAGTACAAAGAAATTAAACAAGTTGTTCAAGTCACATAGATTGAGTGGTAATAATTTGAATCCAGGCCACTGGGCTCCAGTGTCCACACTTTTAGCAACATTTACTTTACTTGCTGATCTACAAATTCATAGACAATGATTAGGTGATTTGTCAAGGAAAACCAACAGGTCTCCATATATATTTAATTAAACCCAGTGCTGCCGGTTTTACTTCAAAAACTAGTGGATAATACAACAACCCTCTCTACCACTTTCAGAGGTTTATACAAACTTTATATACATTGGAAGCTTGAGAAAGAAAGATAATGGAAAAAAGAAAAACAAATTTATTGGTAATACCATTTGCAATTAAAGTGAAAGATATTAGGCATATACAGACAAATATCATTTCTTATAGAACATGTTGCTCTAATTCTAAATGTGATTCACTCACACACACACACACACACACACACACACACACACACATAATTGCTGTCCAATGCTTAAAGATAGCTTTAATACTTCAACAACAACAACAACAACAACAACAAAATCTACAATGGTTGAAGCATCTTTAACATTTGTATTGAATAGAAACAAAACACAAGAGAGAAATCTGGCCCATGGGATAGAGAAAGGAGCAAATTTAGCTTCATTGGGACTTGTTCAATTCAAAGCATCACTTCAACAAAATGTTGTGTGGGCCTCAATCTGTTGTAAATTTAGTTTATTATCAGTACAGACTAAGGTAATTAAAAGCACAACAGCTGAATAAACAAATATTTTTGTTCATAATGAAGCTGCTTTGTGTTATGTAATATTGTTTTTAATCTTATGGTTCCTTTGTTATACAATGAAGGGTAAAAAGTAAACAAATAACTTTTATTACATATTGATCTGCAGAAAAAATGCGTTGTACTAATTTTATAAAGAACATGTCACCGATATGCCAGTGATTTTTATCTGTTAAATATATTCATATCCTTTTCTGTCTCTCAGTACCCACCAGAACACCCCATGCAGCCAACAGACGATACCTACTATCTTAGGAGTTTTTCTCTGTAAATATTTGCAAAAATCCCTAGTTATATTCATGTATATATTCATGTATAGTCTTCAGACCTCACTAGTTTTGTGTTCCTGGGAAAGGTCACTACTCAGTTTTCCCTTTAGAACTGCAGGATTAATTGCCTTCCTGAGTCCAGGAGTCCCTGGGAAGAAATAGGGCCTCACTAAGGCTTACAGCCTTTGCCTGCTCTTCCTGACTCTCCAACTCTAGCTACTACTTTCTGGATTGCTGTCTTTCTGCTCATATCAGGTCACTCTTTATGGCATTTGCTGAGCTACCTATAATTCTACTATCCATCTGGTCCATAAATTATTTGCCACCTTCTACTTTTAATACTGCTTGGATCATGAAAATTTGCTTTTTTGCAGTTAACTTGGGGTACAAGACTCCACATTCCTCTCATTCCTCTCACTTCTCTCTGTGGATGGAGGAAGACTCTCTTCATTGTGTCCTGTTTTCTTACATAGGGTTACCCTTGCTGAGGTGCGCACTTGCACACACACACACACACACACACACACACACACACATGCACATAGTTAAAGTAATAATGATAGTTATATGTACAATATAATATACATACTATTCATATAATATATTTACATTTTATTGCAACCATAGTCTTCTGTATATCCCAGAACAAAGAGATATTCAGGGCTAGAAGGCTAGGCTGGAAAGTAACTTGTAAGATAAAAATAGAATTCCTGTATCATATTTATAAAAGTGGCACTATATGTCTAAAATGGTCTTCCTTAGGGTCAAGAAACCAAAAGAAATAAAACACCAGTCCCAAAACATTAAGGGATTTTTTTTATCATATTAGCTTATTATGTGGAGCTTCTTGAAAATACAAATGCCTGGTCTCTGTTAAAACATCTCAAAATTTCCTGGGGCATATGTACTTCCAGAAAATTCATATCTATGGCTAGAGTGTGGTATTATCTGCTATTGGGCAATGTGTAACTCATGAATATTTTGCCTTTCTATTCAATACAGCAAACCTGTCAACTTTCAATCACATATTCAGTGATGAATTAAATGACTCTCAGACACTGGCCTGCATAGTTGACCTGCTGAAATTTCTGAGTTCCATCTATAAACCAAGATTGGTTTTAATATTGAGCATTGAGTGCCATTTAGTGTGTTTCCTTGATATGTTCTGCCATAATTATGACAATGGTCCAGGTCCTGTGCTGAATGAAAGGTCTTGAATAGTAGCAGACATTTAGAAATCATATTTCAATCCAGGAAGATTTATACTGAGAATTTGTGGAAAACTATCTCCTGCCATCTTCCAACCCCAGCTTTCCATGACAAGGTACCTATCCTTTCCTCATCTGGTCTCATTCCTCCTGACTCATAAATGGATCATCTTCACTCTATTTACAAAAGATAAGAAATTTAGAGTTTCTTTATTTGAGAAAGTGGGTTAGGAGATCTTAAGTTACCAATTGGCTAGTGCCTAATATCTAAAGTAGCATTCACATGCAAGTTTGCATTATCATAAGTGTATTATAAAGAATTTTGTTTGGGCTGGGAAATAGTTCATTGGTAGACCACTTATCTAGCATGTGAAAGGCACTGGATTCTATCCTAAATACAATAAATAAATAAATAAATAGTAAAGAAATAAGTAAAACAATTTTATTTATCTTGAATTCTTTGAGGGTTCAATTACTTCATGTTCTATGTTTGTATCTACATACACATGCACACAAACACACAATAAACATATCTAAGGAATTCCTCAAATATTGTAAAAATGGACACCATTGTTTCCAAGGTAATGGCTCTAAATAAATTCTAAGAGTTGAATCATGGGCTCATAAATGACATACCTCCTGTAAAAGCAGTTGAAATCTAAGAAGGATAAAGCTCAGGTGCAACAGCCAGAATTGCTTGTAGATTTTTCCCTTTTTTTGAATTTATTAAATAGAAAGATATCTATTATTCCATCCCATGCAGATTCAAGCCACTCTTCAGAATGAGTGATTAATAAAAGCTTTACCTAAATCCATAAAAGGAAATTGGAGTCAAATCCTAATCCAAATATAAACCCTGTTTGCAAATTAGAACCCAAATCCTAATCCTTTTGAGGCTGTTCATTGCTGCTGAAAACGGCATTGTTGCTCTCATTTTAAAACCCAACCTTTCACAACATCTTTTAAAAAAGTGATTGCTATTTCTTTGTGCCACTGAACACAAAGGTTTTAAAATGATTTTTTCCCTAAAATGTTCTTATATGTGGAGCTAAATATTGAGATTTCCTGAATATGAGGATGAATGTACTTTTAAAACATTATTTAATAGAAAGCATAGTTAAGATATTTTTAGTTCAGAGTGACTTGGTTTCAAAGTCTGATTTTGGTAGATAAACTGAAACTGATGTGAGTCCAGTCACTCCTTCCTTTGATTTCTCTTAATTGTTGATAATTATTCAGAAGATACATCTGTTAAAATTTTGTTTCACTAATATAATAAAAACTTAAACAAAAGTGGGTATTTATTTTCCTTTTGTTTGAATAATTTCCAGGGAAAGGGAATCCAGTACTTACAGAACAGTTCCACAATATATTTGGGAATCCAGAAAACTGCCAGCCCATTGTTTCTCCATCCCTATATGTGGCCCCTCTTTGTCTGGTTAAATTGCCTGCCAGAATTCCTCTCTCCCAACCACATTCCAGATAGCAGCTGCAGATATAAAGTGAAGGAGGAAAGAGTGTAAAGTAAGTATTTCACAGAACAACTGCTTAACAACAACATTTCCATTTATAGGTTGTATGTTTTTAAGTGACAAAGGAAGCTAGGGATTGAAATTAGAAAGTCCTATAGCCAGATCATTACTATTTTTAAAGAACAAAGGGAAAATATATGTTAAGAAGAAGGAAAAAAAAGAAACCCTGCAGCTGCTGCCACTGAATTGCAAAATCATTGTGAATAAGATTTTAATAAAAATTCTTGTGCTTGAAATTAAGAGCACAGTATTTGTTGTGCACGCACTGAACTTATAGCTATACTCCTGCACTTAGAGGGTCTGAAATCCCCTTTGATTTCTTCCCTCCAGACATGGCAAATATCTACATATTTTTAAATATCTGGATAAAATGCAATTGGAGGGAGGGGATTCTGGAACTATAAGAGAGTAGAAAGCACTACTATCCCACCCAGATAACAAGTTCACTTGAACAAAATATCTGATTCTGTTCTAGATCTCTGGATCCTATTGAAATCTTGTGACTTCCAGGGAAGAACTGGAAAATAGACTGTGGTAAATTTAAGACCTAGTAGCAGTTACCCATCCCACCCCAGCCCTGTGGCAGGCAGCAGTGCATGTGTTCCTGAAGTAGCTCACACAGGCTGTGGGAGTTAGGGTGGACAAAATAGTCTTCAGATTTCAGTGATCTATACACTGCTGATGGATGCTTCTGATTATAGAGGTGCAAAGAAGCAGACTGTCATTGTCCCCCTTCCATTGTGACATCAGAATTCCCCACAACAATTGAAATGACTTTCAGGGAATTTAAAGAACTGGTATCATTCTACCCATTCTGTTTTTTCCCTTTTGGGGAGCCAGGTATGAACTACTAGGACATTCAAGATAGTTGCATATATAGGAAAGAGAGAGGGAGAGGGAGAGGGAGAGGGAGAGGAGAGAGAGGGAGAGAGAGAGAGACAGAGACAGAGATTGAATATGCCCATGTGTAAAGGCTCAGAAAGTAAACCAGAAGAGTTTAGTTTGGACTTCTGGCTGATCATCAGCACAGGTTAACTTATAACAACAAAACAAAACAAAACAAAACAAAACAAAACAAAACAAAAAAACAATAACGGAAACATCTAATTCTTGGAAATTTTATTTCCAGAGTCGATACATTTGATAAAAAAAATAATAATAAAGAGGTACATATGGCCTATTCAAAGGCAAAAAATAAATATATGAAGATAAACTGTTTTTGAAATAGATGTGGTATCTGAACTACCAGGCAAAGATTTTTTTTTAAAGTTTCAAAGATGCTTGAAGATCTGAAGAAATGTGGTGAACCTCAGCAAAACTATATATACATGGAAATGTCAGTAAAGTGATAGAAAACTGGAAAAGAAACCCTAAAAAAGTTCTGGAGTTGAAAAGTACAGTAGCTGAAATAAAAAATTCATTAGAGAAATTCAAAGACACTTTGAAGAGATGTAAGAAAGAATAAGAGAACTTAAAGATTGGACAATGGAAATTATTGTGTCTGGCAACCAGAAAAAAAAAATTGAACAAGGTAAATAGACCCTAAGGATCTGTGGCACACCATCAAGCTGACCAAAATATGCATTGCAAGAATCCTGGAAGGAAATTTAAGATAGTAGCAAAGAGAATATTTGAAGAAATAATATCTGAAAACTTCCCAAATTTGAGGAAAGACATATGACTTCTGGTAGCTGAGTTGAGTGGTAGTCTCTCTCATCAGCTCTATGTAATTCTTAGCAAGTGATCCTATAAGGTAGACACCCGCCTCTTCTGAGTCGCAGTAGAGAAGAGACAGGTTTGTTTTCTCCAAATGCAAGCTGTCTCCAACTGTAAGCTAAGAATCTCAAACTTCACCGAAAACAGTTATATATCAGTCAGATGTAAGTATTTAATCTGTTACTGCATTTTTCTTTTTTTGGACTACCTGTTTCAAAAGATTCTCTGAACTTGTTGGACCTGGACTGTATGTACTTATCTTTCACCTCACATGCTCGTTTCATTTTGTCTTTCCAAACTCCAGACAGTTTCTCCTGCTGGACGAGAGAAGATTTGCATATTTTGCCCTTTAAAAATTAAGGACGTGACTTTGATCCTTGACCTCCTTAGATATGCAGCATCTAGAATCAGAGTCAAGTAATGTTAGGGAAATTGAGTGCTATTTTTAATTTTGCTGGAAAATATATAAATGCAAACTGTTCCCTGTACATGGGGGATATGTGGGGATGCTACAGATAATGGAGAAATTTTAATTTGGAAATTCTTGTGGTTATTCTTTCACTGGGCAGTGTTGTAGAATAGATTATAGCAGTACAGCCTAACAGGCATAGCAAAGAGAGTTAGCATAAAAAAAATTAAAAAAAAAAAAACCTCTAAGAAACTGGACCAAACAAATATCATAAAGGCATGCTGTGACACAAGCAAGACTGTTTGAAAGGTAACAGCTCCCAAGACCATGCTATTATAAGCCTGATAAAATAGAGTGAGGGTTTTTGTTCCTGTTTTTCTTTTTTGTTTGTTTGTTTTTCCTTTCTGCAAGGCATGGGGCAGATTACATTAGACAGCCAGAGTCTTAAACATTGTGAATGTAATTTTAAAACCAAAGAAAATCTTTTATGGGTGTTTAATACAGTGGAGGGAAAAGGGCAGGTTTAGTCATCTCAGCTGATATAGTATGTATATATATATATTCTCTCTCTCTCTCTCTCTCTCTCTCTCTCTCTATATATATATATATATATATATATATATATATATACACACACACAAGTAAAAAAAGTATATATCATGTATATTCTGTGTTACCAATACCTGTGACAAAATAATCATAAGCAAATTACTTTTTGACAAAAATAATTTTCGACAAAACCTTGTAAGCAAATATGACAAATCTGCAATATTTTTTAGAAGGGGCATCTTTATGACAATAATTCACTTTACTTATAATCACATTTTATCCCAATGCCCCACAAACATTGGAAACACAGAAACTACTCTTAAAAACTACACATATTAGAAATTAGTAATGTGTTTACAATAAATTTAAAGAAGAGACTTTGGTGACAATACATATAGCTCCTATAATTATACCAGCAATGTTCCTGAGGGTTCCAAACTGCCTGAAGTTCCATTAATCCAGGGTAGGCTAAATTAAACATAAGATAGTTCAGCTGTGTTTGTTTTTAATTTGCAAAGGAATTTAGTGTTCCCGAAAGTGAGGGACTAGCAAAGTAGACTCCAATCAATCAGGAATATTTTGGGCATCTCTGCCAGTACCATTAATAGGAAAGACCTATCATAACCCAGAAGGTCTCTGGCAGGTTCTAACATAAGAGAAAAGAAAATTTAGAATAGAATAGGAATGCTAAAATCTGGTCAGAGAAAGAGCCTTTAAAAATTAAAATCATACTACGAAAACCTGTTAGGAACACATTTGAATTCTCTCTGACCTGTCATGCCTCTTGTTTAGTGTTTCCCTCTCTTACTTACAACCTTATTTCTAAATACTAAACTTTACTGCTTTCTTCACTTCTAAGTATCTGATATTAACCAAGAATAACCTATGATGGGAGATAACAATTTCACTCACCCCATACTGTCTTCCTAGAGAGAGTTACAATATAAATTTCACCAAATAAATACTCAATGTATGATTTGTAAAAGTAGCTCACTGCTGAGCCAAGTAGTACTCTGAGTTTTCTTGTACATATTATGATTTTTGTTGCAGTTAATGACTGTGCAATTTTTTTTAATTTCACTTTTTCATTTACAGTAAATTTTCAATAATGTTCAGACTCAGGGACTAAACTCTTGTCAATAATATATTCTAAATGGTCCAGCACATGAAATAACTTTGATTCTGTTTCTTTTCGAATCTCTTTCTTATAGACCTCTGACCTAGTCATCAATCTACAAAGCTTCTCTCCAGGCTGATGGCACAGCAATTGTCCTGGGACTTCTTTATGACTCTCCTCTCCTGCCACTATTTTTTTTTTGTCCATTTTTCTTGTTTGGGGGAGCATATACTCCTGTATTAAAAAAAGAAGGCATAGATAGTTTAAACAAAACAAAAGAAAAACAGAATGTGACAATTCTGATTTTCTAAAAAATATCCTTGTTCTACACCTCAGAACAATGTGGACTTATCTGTGTAAAGAATTCTAACTTAAAACTTTCTTTATCCTCAAACTTTTTCAAGCATTGGTCTATTTTTTTTCTATTGTCTTCCAATAATTATAAAATTGCCTGTTGTTACAGTTCCTGATATTTTATACATTAACTCTCCCCACCCCACCTTTAAAGCATTTATGAAAATCACAATAATTACCAGTTTTGATTACTTGCCTTAGGTACTACTTCAAGAATCATGTGTATTTTAATGATTTTATCCTCAACATTAAATTTGAAGAAAGATATTATCAATATTACTCCCCGTTTACAGATGGAAAACTGAGCGCAAAGGTATCAACTGCTTTTTACAAAGTCCTGTAGCTGATAAGAGGTAAAGATCAGTAATGAATCCAGGAAGTCTGGCAATTGACGACATGTGCACGCCCAGTATGCCACCTGCCTCTCTTTGCCAGCTGTTTTGAAATTAACACTTGTTGGACTTTCAATTTGGAGAAACCTTTAGGTATCAGAAATCTGTTGAATAATCATTTTCTTTTTGGGTTCTATGAATTAGATTTTTGGGGTACTCTTGATTAAAACTCTCACTATAAAAAATAAAAGTTTTATTTTGCTTCTAGTAAGTGTGTGTGTGTGTGTGTGTGTGTGTGTGTGTGTGTGTGTCTGTGCACGCACTCGTGCTGGGAATTGAACCCAGGGGCACTTTATCACGGAGCTACTTCTCCAACCCTCTCTTATTTTTCTTTTGAGGAGGGTCTCATTGAGATTGGCCTTCAACTGCAATCTTCGTGCCTCAGTTTCCAAAATCACTGATTATAGGTGTGCACCACCACACCCATCTTGCTTCTAGTAAAATTTAAAATTGATTTCAACCTAGCTTTTAGGAAATTCCTTGAATATTCCAACTTTTTTAATATCATTATTATTGGGAGAAATAGTGTATAATTTCAGTGACACTTTTTTTTTTAATTTTCAAGGGCTATTTCCTGTTTACTGACTATAACTGTTAAATTTATAGTACCTTGCATTTGTTTTATGGATGAAACATCTTCTCACTTCTTTGGGGAGATTAATTATACATGTAAGCCTCCTGCTTCCTACAGATTCTGTTTCCTCAAGGTTTTCTTCCTCTTTTCTTTTGCTCTGGTTTCTTTTTTTCAGGTTGAGTTCTTTCATCAGATGAGCAGGGCATGTTGACTATTTCTGTAGGATGATCAAGGGATAGATAGACTTTATCCCTGAGGGCATTTTAAGTGTTGAAAACTAGAATATGCAGTTTTTCCAAAGAATTATTCTACTTCCTTCTTGGGATTAGAAGCCTGGATGCATGTACTCTGATATTTGGGAGAAAGAGAAGACACTGAGATGCCCTGGAGGCTCCACTGTTCAATTAGACCTTTGTGGATTCTCCTACTTTTGAGTCTTGTGCCCCGGCCCTTTCTACTGAGCCCAGTTCTTTGAAGTAAACATCTGTCAGTATTATTTTCTTCAGAAACTTAACACGATATTTCATACGTGTGCTTTGGGTGTAAAGGAAGAGTACATATCAGTCAACGAACTATTCACACTTCCCA